TTAGGCTATTTCTACCCCTTAATTATTTAGACAGGTTAGATATACAATGTTCCATTTTTTAGCTTATCATTTGGTGTATTCCAATAATACAAAACTAAGTTTTTGGGAGTTACAATAGTCCATTTTTTTTTGCGTTCCATCCATAATTTACAAGTACTATTTTTTTTTTGGCGGGTGAGTTACATGTTCCCACTGCTTCATAGGAAGTTTAACTATTTAGCAGCATACAAGTGGGTAACCCGCTACGGTCATCCCTTGGTGGTGGTGCTCGGTAACTTGGTACACCAGAGACATCATAACCCCTCGGATGGTTATGGGGGATGTTATTTATGTTATGGTTATGTAGAATGGACGGACACCTACAACCAGCGGTACAATAGAGACACCCATAATCCCTCGGTACAAGGGAGGAGTATATTTCTTAAAGCATTTAACTTAGGCAGACCCCGACGAACCTATGTCTGTCCCGTACCCTGGACCATTCCTCCTGCAAAATTGGATGAGGCTAGCCCCAAGTGTCTGGCCTTCTACTTTCGGCAGACAGACAGGTACACAGACAGACATTCTCCCTAGTAGATATAGACATGTTGTTGTATTATATACAAACCGAATATGAGAAAGTAAAAGTGAAGGTTATGTAAATGTTCCATCTTTCTATCTCTGTCTCAGGAAGTGTAGGTTATGTAAATGTCTTGTACCTGTGTGGTGTCTCCTCCGTACGGGTAGTGAGGGCGTCGGAGCACGGAGTTAGCGCCAACAATGGCCCGAAGTATTCCGGATGATGGCACTAACGATAGTCTTGGGTGTGCCGGATGTGTGTGCCGTGAAAGTGACCGTTTAGAAGTTCTTGTGCCTCTATCTCCTGGAGTCCACCTTCAGTGTGTTTCCTGCGGTCACCTCTGCAACACCGGCCGCATCGTGGCCACTAAAGGCGCCACTTCATCTTCGTACTTAGTTGTCTCCGGCACCACGTCACTCGCGCCATTAACGCAAGGCGGGGCAGTGCCAGGCATGAAGGTGGTCATCTTGATAGTGTTGGGCATCGCTGGCAGCACTGCTGACCAGGTAAACTAACCCATTAACTAAATGTGTGATATGAGAACGAAAATAAATTTAAATACATATTGACTGTAAAACCTCAAACCTCACTATCTTGTGAAAATCACAGGATAACACACTCCCACCTTGTTAAAAGTTAGATATATTACACAACAAAAGCCATCTTTAGGTGAGCTGTTGCAATAGAAAAACACGAGACAAATTAGGACATTACATAGGAGCTGTCATGACACTGACCTAGCAAAAGTGACATTTACATTTCATTTTGTTTGGAGCCTGTCATGCCACTGACATGTCAAGAGTCAGCCCAGAAAGGATGTAAGTACTTAAGTCTTCGTTGAACTGTCAACGTTAAAGCCAGTGTTTGATTACAAAGGACTTTATACTGTTATAGCACAATTATATATATCAACAAGAACTCAACAAAAGGCGTTTTATAGCTCTGTTTCCAACTCGCTCCTAGCTTACAACTCGCCTAACAAGACTTCCCTAAACTGACTTTAACTAACCTGTAACCTTCCTAACCTAAACTGACTTTCCTACAAAAGTGACCATCCTAACCTAACCTGAGCTCCCTAACCTGCCAGGAGGCCCTTAACGTGCTGTTTGGGAAAAATGTCCCAATTTTTCTCAATTATTTTTCATTTTCAAATTCCGCCCTTTTTTTGGTCGTAGCGCATGCGAGCGAAAAGCGACGTAATGGGGGGGGGGGGGGTAGAAATAGCCTAAGCTACTCTATCCCTTTGAGATGTATTTCTTCTTGTCTCAATAAACATACTTGAACTTGAACTTGAAGGGACGTAATTTGTAAGAGGACGGGTTGTCAACGACGCTGGAGGCACCAACACGACTCATTGTTAAATAATTGTCTGAGGACGGTCTCTCGCGGAATGTAGGCAAAACCATGCATGACCTTGTGACGTCGCGTTTAAGTGGATCTATATATATAAATTACCCATGACTTACAAGCATATGCCTATAGATGTGCGACAGACACACACACACATTCTCTCTCTCTCCCTCTCTCTCAATAAGACTAGGGGCCCTTTAGGAATTATGCTAAAGTTCATAATGAAACTGCAAACTAAGAGCTGTCAGCTCATTTGAAGCCTCTTCCCCTAGAAACTCGTTTATTAGATGAACTTTTTTATTTTCATCAAATAAAATAAACAGTGAAGGTATACAGTTAGACTCGTCGTTTTAAATAATCACTGATAGGAAGCGATATTGAAGCAAATACTCTACCTGGATATATTTAAACAAAAAAATAGGACAGTCAGATATGAATACAAAAAACTTTCTATAAACGGGACGTACCTCGCATGGGCCGCTTGGCTGACTGGTTTGTTTATGTTCGTAAAATTCATTACAGATGCGTCACCTATAGAATTAACGTACCATATTCTTCATAAATAACTACAACATTAACAGATCTCCATATCAACAGCAAACAACCAGTGATTTGGACTTGGAGCCTCGACAAGGTGTGAGGGACTTGTCACTCGGCCTGTCTGCCTCGCCACTCCTCACCTCGCCCTTACAGCGACTGACTCTTCCAGGCTACAGCCACCTCCTGTCTCAGCTACCCGGAGCTGGTGGTCTGGGGCTGCCGTATTCCCTTATGCAAGGACTAGGACAAGGTTTGCAGGGTCCACAGGTACAGAGTCTTGGGCTGGGATTATCAGGTCCACAGGTACAGAGTCTTGGGCTGGGATTATCAGGTCCACAGGTACAGAGTCTTGGGCTGGGATTATCAGGTCCACAGGTACAGAGTCTTGGGCTGGGATTATCAGGTCCACAGGTACAGAGTCTTGGGCTGGGATTACCAGGTGCACAGGTACAGAGTCTTGGGCTGGGATTACCAGGTGCACAGGTACAGAGTCTTGGGCTGGGATTACCAGGTCCACAGGTACAGAGTCTTGGGCTGGGATTATCAGGTCCACAGGTACAGAGTCTTGGGCTGGGATTATCAGGTCCACAGGTACAGAGTCTTGGGCTGGGATTACCAGGTGCACAGGTACAGAGTCTTGGGCTGGGATTACCAGGTCCACAGGCACAGAGTCTTGGGCTGGGATTACCAGGTGCACAGTTCCAAGGTCTTGCACAAAGATTACCAGCCTCACAGCTACAGAATTTCAGACTAGGATTGCCTAGCACGCAACTTCAAAGTCTTCTACAAAGTATACCTGGCACACAGCTACAGAACCTAAGAGGCCAAGAATTGCTGGGTGGCCAAAGAGGTCTCAATAACAGAGTGGGTAATGGCTGGGAAGGGTTTAACAACAACAAGGGAGTGGGCCTCGTCCCAAGCAGCTTTAGTATTCATCCTCTGCTGAGGCCGAGAGCAGGTCAAGAACTTTCGTTGGTGGATTTACTAAAGTTAGTGAATTTACTTGAAGATGATTTTGAGTTCGGAAGCCCCACGTCTCGATATCAACAAACTCAGGACACCTCAGACTCTCAGTTCACACTAGGCAACGACGAAGAACTGGACAATCTTCTCTTGGAAACTCTACATACATTACGATTATTGCCGGCTGTTCCTCATGCAGCTTCATTCCCATCGTTTCTAAGTCGATCATCAGGATCACCGACGTCTTCTGGTGATGGTTATGTTCCGCGTCTCTTCCCTGGTACGAAGCACCACCGTGTGAGACAACAAGGAAGCAACAGTGCAACTGATTTTCGGCCCCCACGAAATGACCCAATTCGCAGCGTTACCAGAGATCAAGATTACCAGGATCATTTTAGATTCCTAGGTTCTCGATAACCTAATTTGTATGTGTATTGTATACACAAAATTACCTGAAGCCAAATGCAACAGGAATTTACACTTTCCTTTTCTCCTTCAATCGTGTTATAAGTTTATGTAAAATGTTATCACGTAAGTTTAGATAAAAATATATTTTTAAGGGTACCAATAAAATTTATTATAGTACGCATACCGTTGAATCAAGAAGTTTAAATAAAGGTTGAAAAGCAAGTGGTGCTGCCTTTGGCAGAGATATGCATTCTACGAGTGCCCCTTAATTCAAAATATTGTGCCAAAATATTTTCTTTTGTATTTGAGACAATTAAATTCAGCAGTTTTGCAAGATGGTTTAATTTACCCATGATCAATCAGTCATATGTAAATTGAGCTTCAAATATACTGTCTCAATCATGTCCACTAAAATGACTATATTATGTTATTCAATTGACTTCCATTCTTTGTAATTTTGATTTTGAGTAAATGTCTGAATAATGTAATCATTAATAATAAAATTGAAAATCTTGTAATGTCTTCCTTAATTTAGAAACATCGTTGTTCTAATTCTCCTGTAGTACTCTGAATCAAAACACTAGAATAACGTTGCATTAGAATGACGTTGATCCTAGGGTTCTGCTCTTCTATTGAGCTGGACAGTAAGTAATAATCAAAACTAAAGTACCATTTTAGAAAATGTTCAAGAGTGACTTAGATATCATTCAGGATCTCAATAGAAGAGCAGAAAGCCAAGACCAACGTCAAAGAGTCAGATTTACCAAGGATTTTATGGAAGGACATATGGCATAGAGGAACAGTTGGCGAAAGAAAAATTTCCCGTCCTGAAAACCAACACATTTAACTAGATCAGCGACTATGCAAGATGGACAATGCAGTCCAAAGGTGCAGATCTGTTCCATTAAGTGCCTCTTTATCATTAGAACAACCATACATTTGAGTATACAGTATTTATTGTACTGTCAATATAAATCTAAAGTAAATAACAAAATTATTCTATCAGCACCACGATAACAGGTTCTCCTGATTTATGCAATTTATTCAATTCCAAATCCATCTGCTGCATCGGCTTTTCCAAACTAGTGATGTGCAGTATACAAAATTTGTCTATTCGTCATTATGATGCACAACCAGTTTTACTAATCAGTTTAGAAAGTATGTAGGATTCAAACAATAATTTTAGAAATATTTTATTGAAAAATCTTATTTAGAAACTTGTAGAAAAATACAAGAAATCTAACAATAGGAGTCTACAGATTAGTCCCTGTGACACATGGAAGTACTTCAGCTTCTGGCCAATTATTTTTGTATAAAAGTAAACTGATTTTGTCCACTGGAGAGCACTTTTGCAGATAACAATATCTGGAATCCAAAATCAAGGGAATCTTTCTTATACAATTAAATATATAGTTTTTTGTCATAGAATTTTAAGTTTGGCAAGTCCCTCAACTTGTTATCCATTTCACTGCTCATGCTCCGGGACTACACAAATAACCCTATGGAAATGCCAGACAAAATACAAGACACAAGTATTATCACAGGGTATGGAATGGTGCATTTTGTTTCTCCAAAAAGGATAACATGGAATGTGTTCAAGCGTAGAAAAGCTACCTTTTATCACAGTTTTCTTCAGATCTTTAAGTACATACCAGATCATAATATTTTCAACTGAGAGCGACAAAGCAAAATATTATACAAAAATCACTTAATGACACAATACAGACTCTTGCATACACAAAAAGCAAAGTTACTTTTTCAGGGCATAGTCTGTCCCAGCCATGACTGGTGGCAGGGAGTAGTACAGTGAATTTGCATTTTCACTATACATAAAATATTACAAAATAATTACAAACATTCAATGCCCTTTTATCAAAAAACATGCAGAAAACATACACATCACATTTTTTCAAACATAGCTGATAGCCCAAAAATGTTAGAAAGTAATAATTACAACTTGTAATTAGCAATACATATGGCCACCAGCTAAAACAGGTACCATGATAGTGCTAAGCAAAAGACAGATGCCACTAACACACAGTACTCTTAGGCATAAAATGTAAATACATGAGATCGCTAATTTTTAACTTAACTTAATAATGCCATTGTTTTAATACATTAAATGAAAGAGGTTATTTGCACTTCCTCAAAAAGCTGCCATTTTGTTATCTAATGAGTGAATCTAACAGATGAGCAAGAAAATAACTGTTGCAAACCGTATTTGCATAACCAACACACCTGATCATCCAGCAACTGTGTAACCTGTATTAATCATCCACAACAGTAAAATTAACAAGAGTAAATGTATTAGCTTCAAGGTTTCATAATCAATATTAATGGTTACACAAACATTGTCTTGAACAACAATCATTCAGGTTCACTATACTAGTACTTTGCAGGAGTTGGTTTACTTAAACACAATGGTACTATTTACTGTGCAAAATATTATCTTTTAACTGACTTATGAATTTCCTTAGCAATACATGTAAAGAACAGGAGATGGAGCATTTTGAATGCATACATCACAGCCATGTCAAGTTGCATCATCACACTGTCTTGAATGAAGAAAACATTGAATTACAGCTGTCATGTCTCCTAGCTATGGCAATCTCTGGATCACCGAACTATGACATGCCTTGGGTCACAGAACTATGACGGATTTCTTAGGGTTATAAAACCATGAGACACTCCATGGTTATGGAACTAAAGCACATTTCCCTGGGTCATAGCTAGGAGTGACAGCAACACCAGCAGTGTTGTACCATGAATATTCAAGAGTACTGTACATATATAATGACTAATAATATTTACTATAGGAACAAGAGCTTTCCACAGCTCATACAATAGGCAAAAAGTGGTCAGGAAGTTGAAATACAAGACAAGATAAACCACAAAATCTGAGGCACTAACCCAACCATCACTTCACTATGTGCCACCATTGTTGGGCTGATAAGTGGCATTTAAAAAATCACTGACCAACAATGCCTTCAAAATTATATTTACTACACTATTTGTCTACATCTAAGGAATAGCTGAGCAACTACAGGTACAAGTGAGCCCCACAACCAAGAAAGATCAAGGCAGTTCTTTGTTGAACACAAGACTGAAACCCAGTCTAAGAGCACCCATTTAATTAAAAGAGAAATTATAAGTTTAAACAAGTCTGTTTATTAATAAGACCAACACCAAAGAGGTAACCCCGTGAAGAAGTAAAGAGTAAACATGCTTCACATGCTACAACAAACCTAGGAGGAAAAATAAATGGATAGATTACATTAAACAAGAATTGCCTTGCACAAGGAAAACACACAAAATATTAAGTCCGCCACCACTTGAAACAAAGTAAGCCAAGTATACTTCTATTACATTGACTAATAAATATCAGGTGTTGAGAGATGAAGGATATACTGTACACAAACATCACCCCATCACTGATGAAGACAGTTCATAGAAGCAGAGAGCAACTTGAGAAGGCCAAAATGTGCAAATTGAGTATGATTATTAGTAAAAATAAAAAAAAGTACCAAATGTTATCACAGCTTTTGAGACTTCAATGTTAAAAAAATATCAAACCTCCCACCTTCAAATGGCTATATTGTTCAAATGTCAATTATGAGGTCTGACAACATCCCTTTTCCGACAGGTCAGAAACATTATTACATAAATATGAAGAGTAAATTATGCATTTAATGATCAGGGCATACAAAATTTGGCATAGCCTTCACATTAATTTGTGCCCCTATTTGTAAAAGTATCAAAAAGGTCTACAAGTGTTTTTTCAAGCCAAAAATAAGCACATAATACTGAGATTCTGTTCAAGTCATTTAGAAAAAAAATGCCTGTATCAAAATTAGGGAGATATGCTTTGGCTAAAGGATATCAACTAAGTCCCCATCCATTTAAATATACAATATTTATGTACAAAAAACTTAAACCTAATGGAATGTCGAATGGAATGGTTAGTTGCAATTGGCACTGGGCTCTAAACAAAACCCAAGGTGGAAATTTTCCTTCTTACTTTAATCTAAGTGTTCAGATATCGTGCATTGCTAGTCAGCAGGGACATTGTGAGCAACAAGGGCCAAGGCTGCCTCGGAAACATTTCTATTATCATCCACAGCTGGTTTTACTTCCTTTACCTGACCTTTTCGTATTGCCTCAAGGACCTCTTCAGGATTGGCAGTGTCACCCTGTTGTGCAACAAGTTTAAGATAATTTAGGTAAGCATCATAGTTATTTGTTGCTGCTAAGTTGAGCAATGAAAAGTAAGTGTTATTTGGAGCCATTACACCATCCCCTTTTTTGCATTTAATCTTAATTTCTTTTGGTGCTATCAGGACAGGTTTTTCTGACTTTATCTTAAATGTTGCAGCATAAGGTTCAGAGTCAGAAACAGGAATGATCAACTGAGTGGTCGTATCGCCAACTGCTGAAGCTGCAGTGAGAAAGTGATCAGCCGCATTTTCCTTTGCAGATGGAATTCCTCGGCTTTTTCGCACTGCAGACAGTCTCCGGAAAAAGGTCCTGCGAGGAATACGGTATTGTGCTATGGCTTTGGCTGGAGTCAGGTGACCTAAAAGGACTGCTTCAATGCCTTCCTCGAGATCCAAATGTGTGTAAGTTCTCTCACATGATTTTCCAACACCACCGCCAGTTCGTTCCTTAGTCAATATATTATCAACAGTGGGTTGATTTATTTGCTGAAATGGATGAGAGGGATCATGAACTTCTTGCTTCACATTAGATTGAATGTCAGGCGTTATAGTTGTCTGCACATCCTGCTGAATAGCCGAATGCATTTCATGTGACATACCGTGACACAACTCGTCTTCCTCTGTTTCACCTTCAACTGGACCTGTGAATATAAGTAATACATGATTTATACTAATAATGAACAGGATTTTGTACAATAAAAATTTAATAATTAAAGGTTACATGGGAGATCTGCGTGCATTTGTGCATGGGAGAGCTTGGTGCATTTTTGTGTAAGTGTGTGTGTATACAAGTGTTGGGTGTATGGTGACCAGAGGGTTGCCGACATGCTGGCTTAGACGACACTACTATACAGCTCTTAGACCAGCACAGAATTGCTTTCACATTCAATAAATAAATAATAATAAATAAATTTTTATTCAGGTAAGGTACATACATACAAGGTAAGATACAAAGTTGATGGATTTATAGATAGAGCTAGTACATACAATGCCTAAAGCCACTATTACGCAAAGCGTTTCGGGCAGAAACTATCAAACTATTAACAATATCATTGGCAGGGTCCAACCACCACCAAATCTCTCATTGTGAATTAAGTAGCAGAGGGGGCAAGGCAAGGCGAGGCGAGTATGGGGAAGGGTTGTTCGCATATGTGGGAAAGAGGGAGTGACAATTACAGATAGTTCATAAGTATGTTATAAGTATATTACAACTTTGCCATTGTAATCATTGATATCATCTTATATCATGGTTGTTATATTGAACACACATTGTGTGCTACCCCAATCCCCCAATATATGTACCCAAGCCATACAACTTTACCATTGTGATCATTACTGTCATCTTATATGTACTATCAATGTGCTTTAATGTGCCTACTAATTTGTCAAATTTTCTTACAATGTACCTGTCAACATTTTATAAATTTTGCTAAGAAATTACTTACTGTACTTAATATTATCTGTTAGAATAAGGACCTGCCCGAAATGCTGCGCATGCTAGTGGCTTTATAAGATTGTAAGCACATCATGCTATGTACTCTCATAAACCCAATGTACCTTCTTGTATATAAATAAATATATATGGTTCTACCTAACTCGGGGAAACACCTGTACCATTATTGCTGGTACTGACTGATATTAGAATGGCTGTTGAAGCGTGTCAAGGTGCTTGTTTCGATTCCCAGTGGTGCTCTTGCTGGCTGAACTCTGATTACCTCTCAAATTAAAGTCCTTCCAGATTGGTTGGATTAAATCAAGTCGTCTAGAATATTTGTTCGTCAGTTGCAAATCAACGTCACAAATCCATTCCAGCCTCTCTGACATAATATAATTTGTTGTACCTCTTCCAGCACACACTTAACAATACATTATAGAATGACCTAGACATATAAATGAACAAAATGAACAATGGGGGAAGGTCTGTCTATATGACAAATTAACCCAAATAGGGCAGAAATATATGGTGACGCAACAGAAAGCACATGGGGCAAATACTGGCCACTAATTGCTGTAATAAGGAGACTATAAAATGACACTGTGGCAAGAACATGTATTCTAAATTGATTTGAAGTGAGGAAAATTGCAATTACAACCAGCATGTGAAGGCTTGCTGGAGTGAGCAAATGGTATAAACTACTGTTGTCAATTTCCTAACTATTGAATAAATTTGTCCTATTCAGATTTTGCAAATGTTGTTTAGGCTATCTAATAAAATATGCTGGCAACACAGAACTTGACAAATATAAACATACCTATGGAATTTGAGTCATATTCTACGGAATTCATTGGTGACTGGCCAACAGATTCGTCTATCTGAAGTTCTCCATCCGTTTCATCAGCAGCTTCTTGCTTCAACATCTAGAAAACATATACAATATTTAACATTATTTAAATTATAACATTTTTGAAGGAATATTTTAAAGGATTTTTATTTTTTACAAACTATACGGACCATCACACTTAAGTCCAGCAACCATTTTTTTGTTTGTGTGTGCAGCTGAAGATGGCAACGTAGGCAAGCCCTAAATTAAGTCTACATCATCATTTCTGAATAATACACTATACATGTAGTCATACAATATCTCATGAAAACAGGGAAGGGATATGTTACAGTAAAAAATGGGCTATAGTGTGCAATATACACATTACAGTTGTTGTCAAACTGGCAGAGCCCAACTAAAACGTGCCCAACTAAAACGTATTTCATCATGAAACATGCCTTTATGTATTAGCTTGTGTATACTGTATATGAAATGATTTATAATAAAGTAAATAAAAAACTATAAATGTTCAAAGTTTGGAACAGAAACCCAAAATTTTGTAAATTTTTAATTATTGTACAGATATCTATTGATATATTGTAACAAATCATTGATAAAACTGATGTAAAGTCATGCTTTCAGATGAACACACATTTCATATTCTTACCTCGGGTGGTATTGTTGCAACTACTGGTGAGGGTTGAGAAGTTTCAGTTGGATGCGGGTCACTCAGAGAGGTAGGTGGTGTCAACGGCAAGATGGCTGGGTTTTCTTCCGGACGTGGCCTCTTCTTCTGTGGCCCAAGGTGTGTGTTATTCCCCTCTGCTCTCTTGACACTCCCACAAGCTATATTCCTGAACACTCCTGATCCAGTTCTACCTGTGCTGATACCGCCTCTGCTAGTCGTCATTCTAGGTTGATTAATAGCTGTGGTTGGTACAGTTATTGCACCTATTGTGTTTATTTGATTAGGTATTGAGATATTTCCAGGGGCATGTTCCAAAAGAGGGATGCATCTTTCAAGTATCTGGCGTTTTGTGAAACTGCTAATGGCATTAGAGTCTGCCAACCCTTTAACCCTGAGAGTTTCTGCAACTTTTAAAAGAGCTGCTAGTTGCTCCTGGCTTACATTAACCTCCCCCCTATACATAAATGTGACAAGAGCCTCCACTGCTGTGTAAGGCAGATCATGCAGCAATATTAGTGGATGTGGATGGCTGCTGTGATCCCGTAAGATGTGTTCAAAGTATGAAGAACATGCCGAGAGCACCACCTTGTGGCAGTCTATCCTTCGACCCTCCACCACCAAAGTAACATCCACAAATGTTCCTGCTATCCAGAGCTTGTGGAAAACATGCTGTAGCGTTGACTGGTAGTTGTTCCAACGTAAACAAAACTGCTGCCCAGGATCCATCTTATCCTCAACCCTCACCACATAATCTGCAAATGAAAAAAAATCAAAATTATAACAATCATCCACTTACCTTATTCTCTAAATATATTCATCTGTAAATTACACATCAAATCATTTTTATGAATGCCACTTAGCCTATATTAACAGACACTCATAAACTACTCATTCCCAAGGTCACATATACTGTACTGAACAAAATGTACATTTTACTTGTATTTAAAATATCCATTACCAAGAAACAGTAGGCCTAAGGAAAATTTTAAGTTTTAGAAAATAGTCATGCATTATTTTATATACATACAGTACTGGAGTTGAATAAGAAAATATGTACACCAACCCAACCTATCATCCGCTTACCCCACCCCACCCAACCAGCCATCCGCTTTCCCCACCCCATCAAACCAGCCATCCGCTTTCCCCACCCCACCAAACCAGCCATCCGCTTTCCCCACCCCACCAAACCAGCCATCCGCTTTCCCCACCCCACCAAACCTGCCATCCGCTTTCCCCACCCCACCCAACCTGCCATCCGCTTTCCCCACCCCACCCAACCTGCCATCCGCTTTCCCCACCCCACCAAACCAGCCATCCGCTTTCCCCACCCCACCCAACCTGCCATCCGCTTACCCCACCCTCCAGCTCAATACTTGCCTAATTGTGCTTAAAGATACTGAGCTTCAGCTCTGGTTCCACCTCTTAACCCAAAGTTGCCTATTTTGACTTTGTAAGGTCCTTTAATACTATATCCCACGAGAAGCTGTTCAGGAAGGTTGGGCCAGTGGTACTTAAGGGTACAGGTAGCAGAGTTTGCATTAATAGGGTTAAATTGGAGTGGAGAACTATCCATTGTAATGTTCCCTAGGGGTCTGTTTTGTGGCTTTTGTTATTTGTAATACTGTACATGCCAATGCTCTAGATATTGAAGTAAATAGTAATAATACTGTATTTGTGGATTACACAAAATATGTTGAATAGTTACCCTGAATGAGGACTGTCAAACCCCAGAATATATATATATCTGACATACATATTAAAATAATCTACCAAACCAATGGCAATTTTATTACCCATTAATTAGTTCCATAAATCAGCAGTCTTATTTTCAAGCCAATATTTGACAAGATAGTTTCTGAATAAAAAATTTTCACATTCCATTTTGTGTCGATATATCAAGCACCCAATTACATCAATGATTTTACTTCAATCACGCCCTGACCTTACTCTTCTCCTTCTAGAGTGTAAATGTAAATTAATTTTCTTAGCCTGTTAATATCAAAGGTTTCTAATTATTGGGATTGTCTTTGGCATCCTTATCTGGACAAATTCAAGTGAATTTTTATACATTCTATAAGACAGTGCCTAAAACTGCAGTGTAAAATCAATATGGTCACATTACTTGTACAAGACAAATCTGAAGAATAACATTACGCATCTCATTATTAATGATTATAGAAATGAACCCAGCACAGAATTATATTTGCCTTACATTGAACATTTAAACTTTTTTTTTTAGCTTGAAATCCCTCCTAATCATGACTCCCTGATCTTTTTGCATTCAGATTTGGCAATTTCAACATAGTTGTTTAAACAACTATCTTGTTACTCTATTAACATCACTTATGGCTCAAACTGCCTCTGCTAATCTTTTGTCCATTTTAAAACCAATTTTAATTATAATGTAGCAAACCTGAGTCTTTTGAATTTACTTCCCACTACTTTTGTACCATCTGCAAATCTGCATATGCTGGTCAATTCTGTCAATCAATTATATGCAGTACTTATTGTACATAGTAAATAGAAGTTCAAGGTCAAAGCCCCAGGGGTACAGTACTCTACTTTCAACGGTTTCCCACTCGGTTCACTTTTTATGCTAATTCTAAGTCTACCCTAATACAGCTTGGGATAATATCCTCTGCCCCTTCCAATACCATGATCCTCTACTTATCATATTGAACAGAATCAAAGGGTTTGCTACAGTCAATGTACATAATGGCACAATACTTTATCAACCATCTAAAATATTCCAGAAAAGACTAAGAACAAATTTTTCAAATATAAGCAGCCCTTAGTAAAGCAAAACACAGATTACCAAGAAAATCTAACTTAGGATGATCAGAATGATTCCTAGTCCCTATGTTCGGCACCTACCATATGAGGGGTACGATATAAGCTCTACCCTAAAATTACATTCACATCTCTAATATATACACAAAATATAAAGCAAAATAATACATAAATATTTCTTATCTATTATATTATTATATATCAAACCTTGTTATCAAACTACCCAAGCACAGTATATCATATATACAATCATCATTAAAAAAAATTATTGTAGCATTATTGTACCAACACTGCACTGATCTAGCATATACTGGATTTAATACACACACTACTGAAAATATATAAAACATGAATACAAGTGATATAGCACATTGTAATACAGAGTATTACTTAGAAATTTACTGAATTAGGTTTTTACTAGTATTTCCAATACTGAAATATCGCATCCAGTTTTAGCCTTCATAGATAAGAATGTTACAGTACCAAATCAGGTGTACAGTAATGAACAGGAAAAATATACCAAGACTTAAAAAAAAATCATACGAAGTCTATTTAAAAAAAAATATTCCCAGTTGAAAGGAGATGATTAGATTAATAAGTATTTAAGATTATTAGAGTGAATGACACTACTTTCATTTTGCACTGTCTAATATCATTCAAAACAATATTTTAAAATTAAAGGCAAAATTTTGTCGGATGAAGGAAAATACTTCTTTAATCAAATAATAAATATTTTGTCATGCAATTGTACCATGATAAGTTTTCCACAAACAGCCTAGTTTCGATCTAATGATATGTTGCAGTGAATTTCTTTGCAATAATGTTTAATTATATGCAACTGATAAAGGCACATCCTATAATATTCCCAAAGGAATATTTCAAATACTGTATGTCAATCTAAAATCTATATTTTTCAGCAAGCTAATGCTTTTTGCCAGAAATGCTGTGATTAAAGGCCTTGAAAAAAATAGCAATGCTATACTATGTACTATATCTTATGGACTGATGGATAATACTATCATTAAAAAAACTGCACATCGTCCCACGAGTCTGGAGAATATGTACAGTACAATATTACACTCCTAACAATTAAGTCAATATGAAGCAAACATAAAAAGGAATTAAAAGTGATTAAATTAAGAGCCAAATTGTTTAAAATACTGATCTAGAAGGGAAATTTATAAGTACTGTAAGAGTAATGCTCACTAATTCAAGTATATTAATCTAAAAGGTAAAACTAAAATTTATGAGCTATTTATAGAGTAACTGATACCAAAAAACTGTTTTATAAGTAATGCTAATACAACATTAATCAGTAATCTACATAAAAATATAAAACCAGGACTAGCCTACCTAAACTTCTCAAATTGATGGTTTCCATGAGAAAAATGTATGTACTGTACGAGATTGCAAGCATTATTTTAATTGCACAAAACTATTAGGTTCTATAATTTTTTTGTCCTGTACTTCAAAAGTGCAACAGCCATAAGAGTTGGTATGCTTGGCTTAGTTAAGCATCATTTGGTCTGGCCAGTGTATGGATTTGAGACCACACAATCAATTATTTTGCCTAGGGGAAAATCTCAATAAACAATGTACAGACTTCCAGTTCCCAACATGATATGCTTACACTCATATAAATTTCTAATAAAAGTATTCTTGCAATAGAACAGCTCAATGGTCAGTTACCCTTAAAATGGCAAGCACTAGTTACTGGCTCACTACTGCCCACTAATCAACAGGTAGTCAGAACAACGTTGTCACATGGCACTCCATCCACGGCCATAATCATAGAGGCTAACTATCCCTTCAGTTATTTTGCAACTCTATACTGTATACCATATAAATCATTATCAAATATATATACGCGTGAACAAAGGTGGTGGGAGGTACGGTGTGGCCCTGTCCTGAGGCACGCCACACATCCCTCACTCCCTGCCCTCAAACACCACCTCCACTGCCCTGGACTTGTATGGTGCCACGCGTTATGGCACCACAACCCCCACAAGGCTGACCACAACCCCCACAACACAACCCCTCGTGACCACACCACCACATCCGCCGCCCAGGACCACCTGGCCCTCATCACGGCACCCACCGACACAAAACCTTCCCTCCCTCCTCGTTACCACAATGATCTACCACCACCACCACCACGCTCAAAACAACCCCAACAACCCACTAAGTCATCCCGCACGGCACTCCCTCACTGTCCTCCACTCCGCTGCCAGGAAAAATCTAACAAGATTTAAAATCTTGCTTCCAGCGGTTGTGGCAACTGTGCACCTGGAACGGCTGGATGGCGAGTCACTCGAACTCCCGCTCACAACACACTCTTCCCTCGCTTATCTTATCTTTTCCACACTTCACTACACATCCATACCATCACCAAATGCAGCGGGCAGCCTCTCCTGAGGCCGAGGGAGAGGAAACAAGGCGCGGGTGCGTGTAGACCGCGGGACAATTACCTGAGACGCCCAGAGTCCCGGTCTCCACAACAAGAGCAGCGTTCCAATAATATCCGCGCCCAATGTTTACGTACCAATATTAACTTGTTAGAGAGTGGGTGTGTGGCGCCGTGGCACCGGCCGGCACTGGCGAGGGTGTGGGTGCAGGTGACGGCGAGGAGAGGAGGGAGGTGTGTGGAGGGAGAGAGGAGCGCGGTGTTTGCAGGAGAGGTGGTGGTCGGCGTGTGAGTGGCGGCGGGTGGCACGCAGCGACGCATGGCACTGCTGTGCGCCTGCCCGCGTACACCGCCAACCCGCACCGCGCCTCACCAACACCTTTCGCACCCCACACGCCACCTCCACGCCCCTCCACGCCACCTCTCACGCCACCCCACGCACTTTACGCCATCCCCTACATGTGGATACCTCACTCTATATCTGTTAGAGAGCGGGGATAGGGTGCGGTGGCGGTGGGAGAGAGAGGAGGGTGAACGATAAGAGTGGAGGTGAGCGAAGGTTGGGGAGCGCGTATGGCTTCCCGAGGCGCGGGGGGACGCGTCCTGGCCCGCGGGCATGAGAGGGATACTCGCCCGCACCTCGGCCACTCTCCCTCACCTCCACATGTCTCCATCATTCACCACATCCTTATAACACTCACATATACCCTACCTTCTCTCAATCGTTAACCTAATTTACATGCATATGTTTAAAATAATGTCATATTACCTGTTTTTTTCCTGCCCAAAACCTATCTACATCTTACGTGCTGGAATTCCAAAATTCTGTTGTTTAAGCTCATTGTAGTAAAATGGATTTAGATATGTATGTAAAAATATAATTATGTAAATGTGTATTTAATATATGCATTAATACGCATATATTACGTTTCCGTACAAGACATTAATAACGTTTAGGGCGTTAAAATACACGGCAGGACAAGCGGAAGGCACCTTGGAAGATATCTTGGAAGGCATCCAAGTGGAGACAGCAGGCGGGAATAGGGCGCGGCCGTTGGTGCTCACCTGCCTGGCCGGACATACACACGTGGCAGCAACGCACCTTCGTGACACCTTCCTGCCCCTCCACACTCTTAATGTAGCAATAAAGTAAATCAATCCTTGAATTATTCCAGGTGCTACACTCCATCTGTGGGTCCCACATGTAGCCAAGGAGGGTGACAGCCGAGAGGCTGCCGTTGGTGCCAAGGATCATGTTCTACTGCGCATCGATAGTCATCTGGAAACAAAGGCTGCTGGAGTAGGGCTTCGCTTTGTCTCATATCCTGTGATCCCCACATGGCCCGCTGGGGGCAGCCTCCTGGGCCATGGCTCTCTCTCTCTCTCTCTTGGTCAGGAGGACCCAAGACTCTCTGGAAATGTCCCGATGACCCCCCAACGTCAAGAGAGGCTTTCGCTGCGGGTGGTGCAGTGGAGGCTTGAGTGTCATGCAGGAGGCATGCGCGGAGCTGTGGACGTGCCTGAAGAAGAGACAGGATACCGGAGATGTGTGGCAAGACGGAAGTGGCAAGGGAGGGCAAGCTGCTGATGGGAACAGTCACCGACGTCCACTTCCACGCCACCAGGCTTCAACAATTCAATTTAACTTCCTCTCTTAAAACATGCTAATATTAACGAAAGCTAATAGGGATCGAATCTATGTGAAAAAATATACAAATCAAATTTGTGTATGATCGATATTTATTTGACCTTATTTAGCCATGCAAGCTATTATAAGAATGATGCATCTATTTACGTAATATTCTTATATAACATTACTCATCATGACTTGATTAATAGATTGTTGTATTTTGTATTTAACATTATTAAGATTTAAGGCATCAGGAAGGGAGCGGCGCCGTGTGGGTGGGTGTCCAGTTTGCTCCCTGGATCACTACTTACACTAATTGATGTCTTTAAACGTAAGACGAATTTCTTCGCTACGTTTAAAGACATTTTGCTTTATGTGTTATGTATTTATATGTATTTTGTATCTATATCTAATATGAATCATTTGTAATCCTACTCCAACGTTGTAGTTAACTATCCTAAACGACCAGTAAAGAAGTGTAATAAGAGGACGTATACTTACAAGACTTAAACTAGGATGGTTTAGACTAAGAGGAGACCTGGGATATGACTCTAAGCAGCGAGCCAGACAATGGAGCGACAGTGTGTGCAACAGTGGACAGGAAACGACCTGGCCCAACATCCCCTCGACGACAGGTGTGAGTTGCTGCCGCTGCTGGAGGCGTCGACGCTACGCTAGGTCCTCCCGCCCCAACCTCCTCTCCTGTACTCATCTCCTACTAACTTAAGTCCAGAGTTAAAGATGCAAAAACAAATCTGGTTAAATTGGAAGACGAAAGCACGAAAAACTAGATATTCAACTAATATCAAATTTAGTTGGAGATGCAATAAAGGTCGGGTAGGTGGCCAGGTACGACACCAGGGTAAAGGTGCCTGTGGGAGGCCGTTTTGGTCCCCCTGGGAGAAAGTAAAGTAGGGAGAGGTCAACCCCGAGGGCGTAATTACCTGGACGAGGGAGTGGGTGGCGAAGGTGATGGGGAGTAGGGGGTTGGGGGGGTTATAGGGCAGGGACGTCACTGGGAGGACAGATGGGGGGGAGGGAGCCCTTCCTCACAGCTTGACTAACATTACCTCCTTTACAACACCTTCCACCACTTCGCTCCTCTTCTGGCCTCCAGTAATCTATAGCTAAAGTTTTCTATACTCATCACTATTTGATGTTATTTCTATGTTTTTAGGATATATGCTGTCATATTTGCTCAAAATTCTGAGGCCAAAACAAACACATGTACTGAAAGTGGTATGCCTATAACAGAGTTTAACTGGAAGTAATCTTCGGATAGTTTATGATTTTCTATGCTGCTTAGTAGGAAAAACTTTACGTCTATGTAAAATACAGAATATTATCACGGATGGTCAGGAAGTACTGTGAGAGTGATCTGTGGAGAGGAAGTGTGGTGGTTGTGTAGTGGTAATGGTGAATTTTTTGGATGCATTTTAAAAGTACAGAGCATTGTTGTTTTGCGCGTGATGATGCTGATGGTGTAATGGCAGGTGTGGTAGGGATGTGGTAGTGGTGGTAGTGATGTGGCGGTGGTGGTAAGGATGTGGCGGTGGTGGTGTTAGGGATGTAATGGTGGCAGGGATGTGGTGGTGGCAGCAGCAGGCTCGGCGCGGCACCCACTAGGCTGTCTCCCAGGACCCCAGGTAGCGGCAGAGCCAGCCGGACCCGCCCGTCACAAAGACCCTACCTGCCTGCCTGCCGCCTGGCCCCGCGCCACCACACACCCTCAACCGCAAACACCTCCACCACACTCACCCTCATCCTCACACACTACACACATTCTTGCCTCCACGTGTTCAACACTCCGCGAGCTTCGGTTTTCTGCTTTAAAGCACAAATGATAAATCACATGTGCCCAAACCTCACGTAGGCTAGTTAGGATAACATATAAAAAGGGACACCACGTGTATACAGTCTTTGTGTAATTGCATGCTGGTAATACCAACACACACACTCAATATTCAAAGTGAGGAACAGAAGAACGAACGGACAATTAAGCTGGTAAACTAAAGAGATGAATCACAAATATAAGAAACATCTTTAACGTAAGAGTTTTAAATAAACTGAATGAGTAAGATTAAGACGACGTTCAAGCTACAACTTTAAATGTCAATATGATGGCAAAAGCCTAAGAATAGTTCAAGAGGTGGGGCTTAGGAGCTGACGCTCAACCCTGCAAGCACATCTAAGTAAACAGCCATAGCCTAAGTATGGATCATTAAGGCTAAGTGTCTTCTAACACTTCATAACACAGACACACAAACCAGCGATAATATCTTCATGATATTTCTCGTCTCGTCGGCTAATATATAGCCGAGATGACTGGCAATTTTCTGAAGTGAATAATAATTCTCATGCAAGCGGGTGGTTAGATTAGGCTTGCTATTAATAGATATTTACTGTAGTTTATATTTGTTGCTGGTGTGACTATTATTTATCATTATTTAAACCAAGTTATATAGCGCCAGTAAACTATATTAATAAATATCCTGCAATATATCTATATAATGGTAAGATTTTCAGGTGGACTCATATGCAGACCCGTCTGTTGATTAACCACTATTAATTCTATGTTTCAGCGAGAACACATGGCCGGAATACTTTTTAGCTAAAGACAATTGAACTGCATTGATAGCAAACAATGACTTGTATAGTTCCTAGGCAGAGCGCAATTGTCTCCGTCTGAGGCCAAGGCGCTCATCTTCCTCTGGTGTCATCCCAATACGCCAGGAGAAGGAAGGGAAGGGGAAAGCGCGAAGCCATTACGACTATATAGCACTGGGAAGGGGTCAGAATAAGGATTTGGGATGGGACGGAGGGGGGAGGGGGAAGGAATGGTGCCCAACCACTTGGACAGTCGGGGATTGAACGCCGACCTGTATAAAGCGAAACCGTCGCTCTACCGTCCAGCCTAAGTGGTTGCACTATGTCGGGATAGGAAGCAATGAATGTGGTAATAGGCTTCGAAGATCGATGAAATAATGAATTATTATAACAAGTATTAATGAATGTAAAAACTTTTTTTTAAAGCGTAGCAACATTCATCAAGAATTTAAGGATGCACTTACGAATCCTTTACATGTTTTGAACAAACCTTTATATCTTTCCACGGTCATTTATTCAACAGTTTAGGAGCTTCAAAACTTCGCAACTCAATGTTATTATTGTTACAGAAAGATTCCTATCACTTCGGAGCTCGTCAACAAAGCCGCCATGATCGATAAAAGATGTACAGGTTTCGTAAGTCGAGACGGTGTTTTATAAATCCTGACCTCATAGTGAATTAAAGGTGAAACAATCCCTGTGAGCAAGGAATAATAGAGCATTTGGGGGCACAGATCCCACTTGACCAAACATATGACAGTGGGTGGTGACACAGATCCCACTTGACCAAACATATGACAATGGGTGGTGTGACACAGATCTCACTTGACCAAACATATGACAATGGGTGGTGTGACACAGATCCCACTTGACCAAACATATGACAGTGGGTGGTGTGGCACAGATCCCACTTGACCAAACATATGACAGTGGGTGGTGTGGCACAGATCCCACTTGACCAAACATATGACAGTGGGTGGTGGCACAGATCCCACATGACCAAGCAGGGGAACATAAGGCCTGGTGGAGTGATCACACAGTGGACGCACCCACATGACTCAAGTCTCCTGCAATCAGCGAAGCTTAGTATAGGGTACAATTTTATGGTTGTTCGTT